CTCCTAGCTCAGCACTGGCCAAGAGATACATAAAGTGAGCCACAAATGCATGCCACATATGTATCTTCTAATTTTCTAGTAGCCACATTTTAAAAGTGAAAAAAAAGATGAAATTAATTTTAATAAAAATTTTATTTAATCCAACATATTTAAAACAGTATCATTGCAATATCTAATTGATATTAAAAATTACTGAGATATTTTGCCTTTTTTGGTATTAAACCTTTAAAATCCAGTGAGTATTTTACTAGCCATGCTTTAAGGGCTCAATAGCCACATGTGGCTAGTGGTTGCCATATTGGACAGTGCAATTCCAGATGAATGGTTTCCAATTTTCTCACTCTGGTCCACTCCTCCCAGAAGCAGTGGGATTGGAAGGGTGGTGATTATAAAAACTTCCACAAGAGATACTGACAAACTTTCCTAAGGGAATCATTTCCTCCCCCAATCCCTTGAGATTACTGTTTTCATGCTTCCTATTCTGTTTCCTGTAAGTGATAACTACCAGAAGCTTCCTGAAGGGGAAGGAAAGTTGCCCAGGCATCCAGGCTCCTCTGGAGCCCCACCCAAGACAGACAAGGCGTACACTCACCCAGAAATGGGATGTAAAGGGGTGTTTCCAGGGGTAGCTGCAAAGTCCCTAAATTGAACTTGAGACTCTGGGGGTATAGATAGCAGTGACCCATAAGACATGTTCTCTTCACTCTTCCTATCTGAGCTGCCAAGGCAAGCTGGCCTCCCAAGAGGAGGTAAAAGGGCTTGAGGATGCTTTCTTTATCCTCTTGATCAACTGGGCACAATGAGTGGAATTATTCTCAAGAAGCCAGGAAAAAAAAGTGATTGTGAGAATGCAGCAGGGATTCAAAACCCATGCCCCAAAGCTGGCAAGTCATAAGCAAAGCGAGGGAAATGAATTTAGGGTATAATTCTATTATACCCTATGACAAGTGTGGCTGGGCCTGAAGAAGCAGCAATGTCTCCTTCTTCAGGGACAAGGAGTAGAAGTCCCAGACCCAAATCAGTCAAGGAATTTCACTGTAGCCTCCGAAAGAAAAAGAATGGCCATGTGAAGACAGGACATGGCTAGCAATGAACCATACTCTCTCCCTGGAGGGTTGACTGAAGATGCAAGAAGAAAAAAAATGCACATTATAAACATAACTAAAAGGCAGAAAACAGTCCTGCAGTATCCTGATAACTCTGCCACTAAAAATGCTGAATAAAATATTTTTAAGAAATATTTCTAAATGTTGCTGAGTTGACAAGTAAAGAATCAAATCTTCTAAGGCCAAAAATGAACCAAGAGCTGGAATTCAGAGAGGTGAGCTAACTCGGAAGCTGGCAGCTGCCCTGAGGCAACTACTCAACCTCTGTNTAAACACAAACCCCTCGTCTTGCCAAGTACTTCTAAAAACCACCGACCTCTAAAAATTTTGAAATGGCCAATTTCTAAAGCAACCTAACCTCTATTTCCCAAGAATATTTCCAACCATCTCTGTCCTGCTCCTTATGGCATGGGGATAAAGACACACACAGCATGCAGTGACTCTGAATAAAATGTCAGAAAAGAGAAAAAAGAGCAGAGTTCACAACATTCTTTTTGGCCCATGGCCGGGTGAGCCCCGTGACATTTGCGCACACGCTAATCTCCATTATTTATCAACTGCTCCATGTTCTTAGGGAGTTGGGGACCGATGCGAAGTGATAGATGCAGCCTATGTCCTCAAGGGGATTACCATCTATCTGGGCAGACAGGCATTAGATAGGCTAATGTGACAAGGGGACTGGCACAGAGGATCAGAGGGTTGAAGAAAGGCGTCGTGGAGATGGAAATGCCCGAGAGGAGGCTGAACTGATGATCAGGACCTGGAATGGCAGAGGGATGAGTGCTCCACCCCCACAGCCTTGCCTGATTTTTTTTTCAAATGATGGCCTAGGAAAATGTACATCTATGTTATTTTTGCCACTGGAAGCAAAAGTTTTGCAATGATGAAGAAATACAACTCTAACTCCTAATCAACTGACACAATGCTTGCCCTTTCATTCACCCCAGCATGTGGCCTCTTGTGCAAGAATACATGCCAACAACACTTCGTATTTGCTGTGTGTGTGTGTGTGTGTGTAAAGGGGAAAAGCAGGAGGTGGTGGACAGAAAGGCCTGGAGCAGCCACCAAACCAACTATTATTTTCTTCCTTGTACAGTTACAGAAAACATATTTTAAAGATGAACTTCAATACTGAGATAAATTGTGTAGGTTACCCCAAACACTTAATGTCTTCTCCCCTTAACCCCTGTGCTGAGTACGCCTAGCTGTACATGTCTATTTATTTCTAGTCTGAATGACTTCGGAGTGCTAAGCTGGGCGGGAGCACTCACTTGCGGAATGATCTGAGGGAGCGGAGGAAGCCGAGGTCCTAGACAAATGCAGCCAGGAGAGATCTGGGTCTGGGGAATTTCTCTTCCTGGAGAGTGTGGTCTCTTCTCCCATCTCCAAAGTAGGAAGAGAGGACTGGCTCAAAACAGAAGTGCCCACTTGGGTGTGCGCAGTTATTTCTTCGGGGAGTCCCTTCTCCCTTGCCAGGGAACCCCGAGACGTTCCGCTCTCTACGTGAGATGGGGCACGTCTTCCTCCTGACCCTGCACTGCTGGACGGCAGGTGAAGCCTTCCCAAGGCTGAAAGACAGACAGCAACAATTAAAATTCCACCAGCCGAACTCCAAATGTCTGAATAATCTTTTAGTGGGCTCAGCTCTGACCTCTATGAAATACATAGACATGAGGAAAAATCAGGAGGAACTATTCACTTTATGAAAAGCTAACCCCCGAATGAGAGACCATAAACTAAGACAAAGAACATTTTTAGATTTCACAAAGACTTTGAATCTTGTGGTAAGATTATCAGAAAATGAACAAAAGGAAGCTAAGTATCAGACGATATGAAATGAGAGATCAGTTTTTGATCATCATGACTCATCACTCACATTTCACGAAGTTGCTTCCAGAATTTACTTGAATCAAACATAAACAAAATTTCCAGTATCTGGATGACCAACATTCCCAGGCAGCACCATGTGCAGAGTTTCTAAACTCTAACTCCATTATTCATGAATGCAACATAAAATTATTTCATACGTATTCTTTATAGAATTGAGTGCCCCAACCAAGCCTCCTGACACTAGGGTGTGAAACCATGGGGCATCTTGGATGGCGTCCTCCTCCATGTTACCAAGTCCCTTTGTAAAGTCTTTATCGTCCCTTTCTCTCCAACCCTAAGGCCACCAGGCCACATTTTAGCACCTGGTGTTTGGATTTCTGTATCTGCCTGGGTGGTGCCTGACTCCAGGTTCCCTCTGTCCCATCTCCTACCCCAGGCATCTTATACCTGACTACCAGGAGACTCCTCCCCAAATTTGCTTTGATCATGTCACTGTCATGTTCAAAAACCATAAGTGACTCTTTCCTCCACACCAAATTTAAACTGTCAGCCTTTTCAAGTCCTCCGTGATTGTCCCTAATGCCATCCACACAACTGTCCTACCTGAGGCTCCTCTCCTCTGTGTGCGACTTACACCTTCCTTCAAGGGAGGCTGCCGGCCTGAAGCCCCATAAGGAGCCCGTGCTTCTCTTCTCTGTATCTTCACCACATGGCCGGGCACTCACTCCCTCAGCCACCCTCCCACCTGGCTCAGATACACGGACATAGGCTCAAATCCCGGCTCTGAAACCTGTTAGCTATTTGACCTCTATCCGCTGAATGAATGAACTTCTCTGAGCTTCAGTTTCCAAATTCCTGAGAATAATGTGACCTCACCAGCTTGCTGTGAGAACTGAGACACTAGACATGTTGGAATGCAGTAGGGACCTAATCAGCGTGAGACTTCTTTGTCTTCCCTTCCTCATTCAAATCGTGCTTATCTAATCCCAGCCCCTTCTTGAAATCTTTCAGTAAAAATAGCAAACCACCAGCTGGGTAGACTGGAGCAAGAACAACCATTTGAGCCACTCCAACACCAACACGCAGTCACGCAGCCCACCAGCCCTAGCACCTCTGAGGCTGCAGTGCGTGGCACAATCACTGGATAGTGCTTGGATTCAGACTGGCCACGAAATATAGATTCTATGGGATTGGACAGGCCTCTCAACAAATCTGCACCCTTGTCTCGTCTATACTTATACGTCAGTTAACCATGGCATGTCACAGATGGAGCCAAAGGCACAGGTCTGATCCCCAGCCCAAGACCCTAAAATGGGTACCGGGGCTCAGGATGG